CAGTGCCTTAACCACCATGCTACCTGCTGGTCCCTGTTTTTTTTTTTTTTTTCAGTTTTAAAAGGAGCAGTGAGTGATTTTGTTGCTGTTAATTATAGAAAAATGCCATTGTGGGACCAGCCTGTGGCCTGATGGTTAAGGTATTCATGGCTGGATCCCACACGACTAACCGCACAGTTTAGGTCCCAGACAACACAACTTGAGAAAAATGCCAGGTGCATTTGTGTGCGTTCCCGAAGTCCCGAAAGGAGGAGAGATGGAAGAGAAGGGATTGTGGCATGACCATCCCCCTTGGGAAAGGGTGCTTTCTCAGTTTTCTTCTCTCTCTCTCTCTCTCTCTCTCTGAGGCAAGCTTGCATGCCCCCTGAAAAAAAATTTTTAAAAAGAAAAGAAAAATGCCCTGGTGGAAACTGTGTGGGCAATATAGAAGAAATGCAATGGGATAGGGGAGGAGTATAGTTCTGGGTCATTTAAACTATTCTCTGCTACAGGAATTCACCATTGTAGTCTAATGGAGAAGTTGGCGAGCTACATTTGATTTCAATTTCTAACTCTACCACTTAGTAGCAGTATAAGTATGGGTTAACTAGTTATGTAATACTTTGAAGCCTCATTTTTGTCATTTCTAAAATGGGGGTATTGGGGCCAGATGGTGGCAGTGATAATGCAACTGAACCCACAGAGGACAGGTTCTGAGTTTGCATCCTGGGACCTTCCTGAGCACGCTGGGCATGTGTGTATGTGTCTGTGATCCAGGCCAGCTGATCCTTGGAGTGGATTGTGGTACGGGGTGCCTGTCTTTCTCTCTCATGGAATAAATAAATAAATATTTAGAAATAAGAAATAAAATGAGATAAAAATAGTTCCTGGGACCAGCAGTTAGCGTAATGGCTGTGTCGCTGGACTCCCACGTAGTCGACCACAGTTTGAGTTCCAGACCCGATGATCTAAACTCACGCCAGGTGCATGTGCGTGCGTGCCCAAGATCCCGAGAGGAGAATGGAGAAGAAGGGACTGCAGCGTGGCCATCTCCCCTGAGGGGTGATTTCTCGCTTTCTGTCTATCTCTCTCTGTCTTTCTGGCGAGCACACATGCCCTATAGCAGAAAATCTCTCCCCTGCAAAAAAGAAAAAAAATAGTTTCTACTTCATGGTAGTCTCTGAGGAGAAGAGTCAATGAAAATGCATGCACAGTAACAGGACTGTGTCAGGACCATGATAAATGCTCACTAAATGTTAATTATTATTATTATCATTCTTAGCAGCAGGGTGGGAAGGTACAGCACTAGAAAGTCAGAACCCGTTCCTCAATTACTTATTGAAATTAAAAGTTTTTAATAATACTAGCAAATACTTTTATGTACCAGGCTCTGAACATGCATTAACCACGGCCCTATGAGGTATGTATTATTGTTATTATTATCATCATCACCCCTAATTTATGTTTGAAGAAACTGGGTCACAAAGAAATGATATAACTTGCCCAAAGTCACAGAGCTAACAGCCAGCCATGAGTTGAACCCACACAATCTGTCTCCAGAGCCAAAATGGTGAATCACCATGAACATCACCTTTTTGATCAGTATGGTCGGGGCCATCGCTGAAGGCAAAAAGTAAACCCAATCCATAGGGTTCCTCTCTATGTTCAGATGCTCCTAAGTGTCCCTGATATTAAATCTGTTTTTCTGCTTCACACCAGACCAAAAAACAAAACAAAACAACAACAACAACAAACTACAGTACTAAGTCTTTAGCCTGGGAAACTCTGATCCGTTTCACCTAATGCAATCGCATGTTACAAAATTCCAAAGTGAACGGGTACATGGTAGAAAATCTCTTTTCACTCCATCATGCAGCCATCTATTGGGTTGTCCGTTAAATCATGACACATTTTGTATAGAACAACACAGAAAAATACATCATTCCTTTTCCGACAACTTAGCAGTTCTCTTGCCCAGAGGAAGCTCATGTTAGCTAGTAGATCAATTCTGAGCAACCTTTTCTTTTTGAGAGAGAGTTTTGTGCTCATCGGAGAGACAGAGAGAGAGAAAGAGAGAGAGAGAGAGAACGAAAGAAAGAAATCATCCCCCAGGGGAGATGGCCAAGCCACAATCTCTTCTCCAATTGCATCTCAGGATTTGGGGCATGCATGCATATGCGCCTGGTGTGTTTTAAGTCAACGGGTCTGGGACTCGAACTGTAGTTGACTAAGAGGGGTCCAGCGATGTAACCACTATGCCATCTGCTGGTCCCTGAGCAAACAATTTTAACCCATATTTTACCTCTCTGATATCCACGGCAAACACTGCTGTCATGCTCCACCCCCTTCCCTGCTCTGACTGGAGACAGAAACATACATGGAGAAACATACCTGTCCCCTGCTATCCCCACCTGCCTCCACTCCCTTTACCTCACCACTACCCTACCCCGTCTTCTTTTCCCAAGTCAAACTACCTTACTTTCTACAAAAATGGAGGCATCCTGGAAAGAAAGTTGGGGACAGCTCCTTTTTCTTCTACAGCCCTCTTTACTACCATGACGATAGTTCTGAGTTTATCACCAATGAACACACCACAACAAGATTCATTATCTAGAGTATGAACACAGAAAGAAATAGGATTTTCTTTCTTTAAGTAGTCTAGTACTAACCCATGAGCTCTAAAAGTGCAGAAATGGAAAGATGTCAGGATATGCTACTGATACCATTTGAAAGACCAAAAATAATAGCAACAGGACTGGTCCTGTAGCACAGCCGTGCAGCACTGTGCAAAGGAAGCCAGACTCACAGGACTGACTGGGGTTTGAGTTCCGGCCCCGAGACTTGAGAAACACCTTGTATTGGGACCTGCAGATGGCATAATGGTTACGTCGCTGGACTTCCACATAGTCGACTGTAGTTTGAATCTCGGACCTGACAGCTTGAAACTCAAGTTGGGTGCATGTGGATGCCCAAAATCCCAAGAGGAGAATGGAGAAGAAGGGATTGCAATATGATGATTATCCCTGGGGGATGATTTATCACTCTGTCTCTGTCTCTCTGGCAAGCACACACGTTCTATAGCAAAAAAACTCTCTAAAAAAAAAAAGAAAAGAAAGAAAAAGACAAACATTTTGTGTGTGCATGTGTATGTCTAGCTGATGAGATGAAAAATGGAGGAAAAGTATTACAGCATAACCAGGTTCCACTGGGCGGTGCTTTCTCTTGCTTTCTTTCTCTCTTTTGCATATGCTCTCTGGCAAAAAAAAAAAGAAAAAATAGAAACAACAAACTAAATATATGCATATTTACTAACACATTAAACTTTAACAGTGAATAAATCACATATTAAATATTTTAAATTTTTACAAGAACCATGACTGGGAACCAGCAGTTAGCGTAATGGCTATGTCGCTGGACTGCCACGTAGTCAACCGCGGTTCGCGTCCTGGACCCGGTGGCTTAAAACTCACGCCGGGCAAGATCCCGAGAGGAGAATGGAGGAGAAGGGATTGCGGCGTGACCATCCCCCCTGGGGTGTGATTTCTCGCTTTCTGTCTCTATCTGGCGAGTGCACGTGCCCTATAGCAAAAATCTCTCCAAAAAAAAAAGAACCATGACTATCCTATATATGATACATGGTATATCATATATATATGTATACACACACACACATACATATATACATACACATATGATTTTCATACCTTTTTTCTACAGTGGTAAAATTTGCATAACTTAAATAACTATTTTAACTATTTAAAAACGTACAAATCAGTGGCATTAAGTACATTCTCAATGTCGTACAACAATCACCACTATTTCCAGAACTTTTTCATCATCCCAAACAGAAACTCTGTACCCACTGAACAGTAGTAATTCCCCATCTTCCCTTCCCCCCATAGCTCCATTCTACTTTCTGTCCCTATGAATTTGTCTATTCTAGATACCTCATGTAAGTGGCGTTGTACAATATTTCCCCTTTGGTATGGCTTATTTTACTTAGCATAATGTTTTAATATTCATCCATGTTGCACCATGTATCAGAATTTCATTTACTTTAAAGGCTGAATAATATCTCACCTTCTGTATATGCCACGTTTAGAGGCAAACACTGCTGTCATGCTCCACCCCCTTCCCTGCTCTGACTGGAGACAGAAACATACATGGAGAAACATACCTGTCCCCTGCTATCCCCACCTGCCTCCACTCCCTTTACCTCACCACTACCCTACCCCGTCTTCTTTTCCCAAGTCAAACTACCTTACTTTCTACAAAAATGGAGGCATCCAGAAAGTTGGGTTGGGGACAGCTCCTTTTTCTTCTACAGCCCTCTTTACTACCATGACGATAGTTCTGAGTTTATCACCAATGAACACACCACAACAAGATTCATTATCTAGAGTATGAACACAGAAAGAAATAGGATTTTCTTTCTTTAAGTAGTCTAGTACTAACCCATGAGCTCTAAAAGTGCAGAAATGGAAAGATGTCAGGATATGCTACTGATACCATTTGAAAGACCAAAAATAATAGCAACAGGACTGGTCCTGTAGCACAGCCGTGCAGCACTGTGCAAAGGAAGCCAGACTCACAGGACTGACTGGGGTTTGAGTTCCGGCCCCGAGACTTGAGAAACACCTTGTATTGGGACCTGCAGATGGCATAATGGTTACGTCGCTGGACTTCCACATAGTCGACTGTAGTTTGAATCTCGGACCTGACAGCTTGAAACTCAAGTTGGGTGCATGTGGATGCCCAAAATCCCAAGAGGAGAATGGAGAAGAAGGGATTGCAATATGATGATTATCCCTGGGGGATGATTTCTCGCTCTGTCTCTGTCTCTCTGGCAAGCACACACGTTCTATAGCAAAAAAACTCTCTAAAAAAAAAAAGAAAAGAAAGAAAAAGACAAACATTTTGTGTGTGCATGTGTATGTCTAGCTGATGAGATGAAAAATGGAGGAAAAGTATTACAGCATAACCAGGTTCCACTGGGCGGTGCTTTCTCTTGCTTTCTTTCTCTCTTTTGCATATGCTCTCTGGCAAAAAAAAAAAGAAAAAATAGAAACAACAAACTAAATATATGCATATTTACTAACACATTAAACTTTAACAGTGAATAAATCACATATTAAATATTTTAAATTTTTACAAGAACCATGACTGGGAACCAGCAGTTAGCGTAATGGCTATGTCGCTGGACTGCCACGTAGTCAACCGCGGTTCGCGTCCTGGACCCGGTGGCTTAAAACTCACGCCGGGCAAGATCCCGAGAGGAGAATGGAGGAGAAGGGATTGCGGCGTGACCATCCCCCCTGGGGTGTGATTTCTCGCTTTCTGTCTCTATCTGGCGAGTGCACGTGCCCTATAGCAAAAATCTCTCCAAAAAAAAAAGAACCATGACTATCCTATATATGATACATGGTATATCATATATATATGTATACACACACACACATACATATATACATACACATATGATTTTCATACCTTTTTTCTACAGTGGTAAAATTTGCATAACTTAAATAACTATTTTAACTATTTAAAAACGTACAAATCAGTGGCATTAAGTACATTCTCAATGTCGTACAACAATCACCACTATTTCCAGAACTTTTTCATCATCCCAAACAGAAACTCTGTACCCACTGAACAGTAGTAATTCCCCATCTTCCCTTCCCCCCATAGCTCCATTCTACTTTCTGTCCCTATGAATTTGTCTATTCTAGATACCTCATGTAAGTGGCGTTGTACAATATTTCCCCTTTGGTATGGCTTATTTTACTTAGCATAATGTTTTAATATTCATCCATGTTGCACCATGTATCAGAATTTCATTTACTTTAAAGGCTGAATAATATCTCACCTTCTGTATATGCCACGTTTAGAAAATCTATTCATTTGGGGTCAGTGTGGCCCACTGTGGGTCGAGATCTGAACTAGGGACGTGTGTGTGCGAGCCTAAAATCCCAGGAGGAGAATGAAGGAGAAGAAATTGTGGTACAGTCATTCTCCCTGGGGGGTGATTTCTCTCTTTTCCTCTCACTGTCTCTATGTCTGTCTCTGGAGAGTGCACTTGCCCTATCACACACACACAAAATCGATTCACCTGTTGATGGACACTCAGGCTATTTGCACGTTTTACCTGTTCTGGATAATGCTGCTATAAACATGAGTGTATAACTATTTGTTTAAATTCCTGCTTTCAGCTCTTTCCCAGGCTACCAGGACTGGGACTCAAATGGTCAGGTACATGGAAACCAGCCACCCTAGCCACCGTGCTACCAGCTGGACTGGTTATACCTTTTTGTTTCTTTGAACGTCTTATAATTTTTTATTGAAAATTGTACATTTAGAATTACATAATGTGTGTGTTGTGACCAGCAGATGGTGTAATGGTTACATTGCTAGACTCCCACATAGTTGATAGTGGATTGAGTCCTGGACCCGGTGACTTAAAACTCACACTGGTAAAATGTGCATGCATGCCCATAATCCTGAGAGGAGAATAGCGGAGGGATTGCAGTGTGGCCATCCGCTCTGGGGGATGATTTCTCACTTTCTGTCTCTGTCTTTCCAGCGTGTGTACATGCCCTATAGCAAAAATCTCTTTTAAAAAATCAGGACCAGCAGTTAGCGTAATGCCTATGTCGCTGGACTCCCATGTAGTCAACCACGATTCGAGTCCTGGATCTGGTGGCTTAAATTCACACCGGGCACATGTGCGTGCGTGCCCAAGATCCCGAGAGGAGAATGGAGGAGAAGGGATTGCGGCGTGGCCATCCCCCCTGAGGGGTGATTTCTTGCTTTCTGTCTTTGTCTCTCTCTGTCTTTCTGGTGAGCTCATGTACCCTATAGCAAAAAGCTCTCAAAAAAAAAAAAATTACATGATGTGGCAACTATAGACATTAGGTTTTCTTCCTCTCTCTCCTAGGGTTTGTCATTGTTGCTATATGTTGTTTGCTGACTTTTCTGAAATATTCTATAAAGCCTCTCTTCTTTATCACATGTGGCCACTGAAGTCTCTGCTCGGTTAACTCAGTAGTCAGGTAATGGTTAGAGATACCTTAAGTACTGGAAACCGAAAAGTCTCCCAGTCTTTGCAAAGGGATTCCGTGGGCATGTTGGGCATGCCTTCAACGCTCAGCCAGGTAGCTGACAATTCTGACTTCGCTGTCACTGCCTGCTTGTGTGCAGCCTTAAGGTGAGGCCGCACAGAAGAGAGAACGGAAGGCCATCCTTGTCTCGAGCATGCACACAGCCCTAGGCTCTGGACAGACCTATGTACACATGTGGCCTTCTCCTTTCTCAGGAATATGAGGGGGCTTTGCAAAGACCCTACGGACATCTCATCCCCTAGGCTTTCTTTCTAAGCTTGTCAGCTCCCTGTTCGCTCTCTGTTATCTACCACCTCAGGCAGCCTTGAAATTAAGCGATTGCCTCCAAATATTTTCAACCAACTCCCCAGGGGAGAGGGTTTTCACACTGGGTGACCGCCAAATTAAGTCAACTAAAGACTGCCTTGCAATCGTGGTCTTCCAGGGAACCACCAGACACAGAAAATCCTGACAGTTCTTTGGGCGCTCTAATCCTATTTTGCCCCTTCAGCGGCTGCCAGGCTTCTGGCTCTCGCTGTGACTGTGGGCTGTGGATTTTCAAGGCTACCACAGAGCTGGGGGAGGCGGGTGATGGGAACAGGGCAAGTGAAGCGAGCTGTTCTGAATCAACCCTTTTTATGAAATAAACATTCCCTGGATTGTTGTAAGCCTTTAGTTAATTTAGACAGTTGCGAAAAAGCTAATTCTGACTATCTCCCCCAGTTTTCTCGTTGCTTTTATGGGAGAGACCGTCTGAGAAATTGTTAGTCTGTTTTCACTGACATTACTTTAATGAAGTCATAATCCAGGAGGAGGGTGAGTGGGTTGAAAAAGCAGTACTGGACTTATTCTTCTCAGGGGTGGACTAGTTTGCAGTGGTGAGAGGGCCTGAGGTGAGGCCATGGGAACAGACAGCTGGAGTGGAGTACAAGGGAAAGTCACTGCTGGGGATGGAGGAAGAAGTGATGGACTTTATTTTTATTTATTTATTTTTTTTCTTCTTCTCCATTCTCCTCTCAGGATTTTGGGCATGCATGTACATGTGCCCGGCATGAGTTTCAAGGTGCTGGGTCTGGGACTCGAGCCATGGTCAACCACATAGGAGTCCAGTCCACTATGCCACCTGCTGATCTCAGCAATGGACTTTAAGGCCAAGCTGATGAGAGGTGTGAAACAGAAGCAGCCTGTGGAATACAATGTTCATTGATTTAAGTCTTAAAGGACCCAGGAAAGCATAAGCCTGAGACTGGTTACACCTTAAACCCATTGTGGTTATTGCCCCAAGATGCATGCTTTTATTTACAGTAAGCAAGCTATGAAGCTGCATAAGGGTTATAGATCTCATGATGTGATCCCCCAACCGTTCTGCTTTCCAATATTCTTGAGTCCCTTATGTAAAGAATAAGAAAGGATAAGATATACCCAGTCAGTTGCCAGCATTATTTCAATAACCCAACTAACCTCTTTATTTTTTTTTTTCCATTTCATACCAGCAGTACACTGGTTCTTTATTCATAAATATCAGCATTAATACTGTATCTTATTTTGGAATGAAAAGAAAAGCAATGCACTAATTTCAAAACCTTTTAACAAAGACTTCCACTTCTTACATTACATTTAAAGTCCAAGATGGCAGTGTTCACAGGACCAGGACTGGAGTCAAGTCTTCTGATTCCAAAGCTTGCTTTCTTTTTGCTACTTTGCCCTCTTTACTAACTGTGAAATAACCTCATGGATGCTCATCTCCAGCCTTCGTGACTGAAGAACTAGGCTTGTGTTTGTCACAAAGATTCTAATTAAACTTTAACCCCAAAATGTGAGATAGGTGTGCTGCAGGCTTGTAAGTTGAGCAGCTAGAAACATGGTCTGTTACATCAGAAACTTACTAATACAAAGGAATTTGATAATACTGTTACCTCTGAAAGAGGAGACTTGAACCAAGGAGAAAACAAAGTAACACAGGTCTCAGATGGGAATTCACTAAATACAATTCCTAATTCTATTACTTTTTGTGGTGACCTGTAAATATAAATAAATATACACAAATTAACTATCTTAAATTTTTATTAATCTGGTGTGGCCTCTATTTAACAATCTTAAATTTTCCTTCCAAATAATGGGGCTGAAAAAAATAAAATCATTTCCTTGAACAGACAGTGCTCAAATGGCCTCTCTCCTCACTGTGTCTGCATACATAGTTTAAAGATTCTAAGTCATGCACGAGTTTAGCAAGAAAGAAGGAGTTCTATAATTAGTGAACATATATCACAAGAAATTAGGTGAACTTCTTCCGCTTCATCCTCAGAAACACTGTATTTTCCACATCGGCAACTCAAAAAAAAAGAGTGATCATCTTCATTCCAAGACATTTCTTCAAGATACACTTGAGCATCTACTGGTCCCATATTTCTTAGTTCATCTTCACGTCGCTGCAGGTCGTACTCTTTTTTTTTGTCTCTTCATTCCGTAGAATTTTCCATGCCTGATCAACTTCAGTGAACTTCCATATACATTCCTCCACCGAGCCCGCTGGCACATCTGCACTCTGTTTATCTGGATGGTACATTAATATGAGTCTTTGATACTTCTGTTTCAGGTCTGACACATTTGCAGATGAGTCTGCCCCCAGAATGCTGTACCAATCCTTCTTTGGATTCTGCTCAAATGCCATCATCCATTGAATGTAAAGGGGGGGAGAGTTTCTTCTCAGATCAGCGGACTTCCCATGGCCGGCGGCCCCCAACGTAAACTCTTGACAAACTAGTTGGAACCTCTCTTCTTCACACTGTTATATAAACCAGCTTTCTTGATCGCCATTTGGAGGAGCATATGTCTGGGATACCAGGAATTCGCTTCATTGGGTGATTGGTTCTAAGCCTTAGCTCAAACAAACTACTTCTATTTTGCTTATTATGCCACGGTCTTCTTTTCAAGTTGATAGA